TGTGTGCGTGCGTGCATGCGTGCGTGCGTGCGTGCGTGCGTGCGTGTGTTTATGTCTTTGTAAATGTAAAATGTCTTCGTAAGGAGTGCCACTGGTTACCGGTGTAAGTTGCGTAGTCCTTACATCTGATCTGTGGTATCACAGGATGCCTGGACCTTCTTCTCCTAAAACCAAGACCCGGAAGACTGGAAACCCATTGGGGTGTCAAAGCCTCTGCAGCCCAATGGTGATTAGATGCACATAAAAATATAAATCGATACACATATTGCTTTTTGGAAAGCCCCCAGACCACTGGGTTCTGAGTTCGTGGGTTTCTGCTTCTGGGGCCTCCAGTCCTCTTCGGTGCTTGGCGGGCCGGGGGATTTTCAGGGCTTTAGCATGTACATACATATAGATATGGTGAGTAGATGCACATAGAAATAGAAATCGATACAAAAGAGCTAGGGAGGTGTGAGAACTGGACCTAAACCATACTCCAAACCCTTGAGCTCCGAAACTCTGACACCCAAGCCCCAGAAGTCTTTTGGTTGTTGAGGTTGTGCTTTGGATGCTTCGAAAGTTGTAGGATGTTACGGTCGGCAACAGGGTTAAGATCTTGCTGATTAGGGTCTCCGTCAAAGAGGGGCGTGAAGCTTAAGAAATTAATCCCAATCCAAGACAGGTCGGAAGGTTTGCCCCAACAGAGTCTCTAAAGAGTCTGCCATGATGCGGCGTTGCGGGATTCGTGCTCAAAGGTTTGCACATTTGTGTAAACAGCATGCAGAAGCCATGCCTGTCTCACGCAAACGTGAGAAAACACATGTATGTGGCCTTTGCCGTCGCGCCGGGCATAGAATCGAGACATGCACACTTCCAGGGGGCAAGCTCGTCAGGGATCTGAAGAAGACTGCGGGCCACTTGTGGCAAGTCGGACAAGCCACACAGCCAGACACGTTCTGCAGGCTCCCCATCACACCAGGCTCAGCAGCGCAAGGATTAGTCTGGCCGCACTGACGGACCACAGGTCTCCTGCTTTCGTGTATTGGGCTTAGGGTTTAGGGTTTAGGGTTTAGGGTTTAGTTAGTGTTTAGGGTTTAGGGTTTAGGGTTTAGGACAGAAGCGCGGCCAACACAGATGAGGATGCGGCACAGTGGTTGATAAAGCACAAGGTCGTGAAGTCTCGGCGCACTTGTGCTGCATGTGGCAAATGCAGCATGAAAGGTCCCCTTGTGCTCAAGCGCAAGAACAAGCTTGCCGGGACCGAGACGGCTCGGGGGCACTTGATCTGTGACCCTACTCTAGGACATGTTCAGCTGGGTAGTTTCCGTTATAGGAGCCTTACAGTAAGGTCTATATACCCTATTGAAGCCTTATGGAAGCCCTATATACCCTAAACTCCCCACCTGTAGTTTCCTTTAACCTACGACGTTTTAGGGTTCAGGGTTGTCGAGCTTGAGGAGCTGCCACGGTAGCAGCGCCGCAGCTACCCGAGGCCTGCACCCGACAGCGAGAGGTTTCCGCTTGTTCGAAATTTGAGCCCAGGATTTCCATTAAACCCCACACCGGAAGTCGAATCCCACCCTTCCAAACATCAGCCCCATAGCCTACCCATAGGCCCCATAGTGGTTCCTTTTTGGGATTACCTTATAGGATTCTCAATATGAACCCCAAAGAGGAACTACTATGAGGCCTATGGGTACAGCCTAAGCACAAATAGCCCGAAGCTCACAAGCCCGGTTCAACCTTGAACTACCCATAGGCCCCATAGTAGTCCGTCCCTTTTTGGGATTACCTTCTAAGATTGTAAATATGGACCCCCAAAAGGAACAACTATGGGACCTATGGGTAGACAGGCGTGGGCAATGTTAAGGTTTGCTTTACGCTGCAGTAAGTTCCATGAAAGTTGAGAGCCGTCCAAGGTTGTATAAGTCCTCGGTACACTACAGCATGCACCCAGGCCCATTCCCGAACTTTAGATGGCCGCAAACCTATAGGATGTTAAGTAGTCTTTTGGCGTGTGAAAAAGGTGTCAGTAGAAAGGCTGCCGGCGTACTACTTAAAGGATCATGGGACTTAGTAAGTAGGTTTATAACTAAGGTAACTATACTTATAACCCCCAATTAGAGGACTTATAACCTTACTTACTAAGTTCCATGATCCTCCAAGTAATGTAAAATTGGAATAGGGTGTTGAGGAGTTCCTTATTACCCCAAACCCTATTCTAATTATTAAGGCCCCTACATTAGTGTTTAGGGTTTCTTACTAAGTCCCATGACCCTCCAAGTAGGTTTAGGATTCAGCGTGTGTGGCGCTAGGGGTTTGCAGTGCAGGAGCTCGAAGTGCAAGCGTCAACCGCGATGCAGGGATTTAGGCTTAAAAGGATTTGGGGGAGGGTCCTAGGGAGCCTTAGGGAACCTAAGGGAGTACTAAGGAGAATTGGGGATTACTGGGTTATATACCCCGCTTAGAACCCCCTCCCTTAAGGATTCCGTAATTAAAAGGGTTTGGGGGTGCAGCTGCAGGCACCTTCGACACCGGTTGCCGAGCCACCTTTGAAAGAGGCTGCCTGTGGATCTACATCGTCGCCGTGTCGCGAGCTTCATAAGTAAGCGCTAAACCCTAAACCCCTAAACCCTAAACAGGTTTCATAAGTAATGCCTTGTCCAAGCGCAGCTTTTAAGGAGCTTCACAAGCGTTTTTGCAAGGTCTTTGTATACTGGTGCAGCAAGGGATCAGTGGCGTCAGACCCTATATAGAGGGTTTAGGGTTTAGGGCCGTTTAAGACTTAAATGAGGGGAGGGTTTGTTAGAATTGAACTCCTTCTTGGCCAGAGAGTTGACGATGATAGGCTCCCTGAATGGAAGTTCTTTCTCCTGGGCAGCCCCTGCACTTTCGGGGTTTACTCTAGGGGCTTTATAATTAGCATAGGGTTTTGGGGTATGTTTTGCTAACTATACTAAAACTGTAACCAGGAACCCCCCCAAAATAGTATAGGTAATGATTTAGGCCCCTATATTAGCTGAGGATTGTGAATTTCGGGCTTCCGGAGGTTCGCAGCTAGAGCCCCTAGTAGACCCCAGAGCCGCCCCGAACCAGACCACCCCAAGGCCACAAAAAAAGGAAGGCACCCCGATCTCCGACTACCGTAACTTTGTGGTCCACATCCAAGTGTGTAATTTGTTTTGGGATCTTATAAGCAGGTCTTATTCTGAATCTGAAAGTTTTCAACTTTTTGTACTAAGGTTTCTTGAGAAGCAAGATAGGGAGCTGTCGAGCTTTGCCGACAGGTGCCGGCGCCAGTTGTCGAGCCAGTCCCCAAAGAGGCTGCGGGTGGGTGGAAGGCTTGAGTAGGGGCTATTGCAGGGTTGAGGGTTTAGGATTTTATGGTTTGGGGTTTAGGGTTTAAGGCCCTAAACCCTAAACCCTACTTCCGACTTCCTATTTCAGAAAAACCTACTTCGAGTGTCTGTTTTTGTTGAAGATTTCGGATGCAAAGTTAGGGTTGAAGGCTCAAGGGTTACGGTTTGCTGTGGGACGTAGATTCCCAAAGGTCATTGCGCCTCAGGTAGGTTTAAGGTTTAGGGTTTAGGGTTTAGAGTTGTCATCATGAGCATCACCGTCATCATCAGCAGCATTTTCTCCTTCATCATCCTCTCGCAATCAGAGCCTTACCATCACCAGCTCCATGCAAGTAGGATTCTTTGCAAAATCCCTCGACCCTGCACACGAATGCCCAGATTTAAAGAACCTGAAACATGCCAAGCCCTAGAGATCTAGGATTTAGGGCTTTGCCACGGTCCCGAAACGCCGCAGGCTCTGTTATATAAGGGGCCAAATAATTACCTATACTATTTTGGGTGTTCCTTATTATAGTTGTAGTATAATATATCCCACAACCCTATTCCAATTATTACGGCCCCTGCATTAGATCTATAGGCTCCAGGGTTTTCAAGCGCAGGCGCCACCGCCCGCGCATGCAGAGCCGCATCAGCCGCCCAAAAAGCCGGCGGCCAATGACTCAGCAGCAGAGTTTAGGGTTTAGGGTTTAGTGTTTAGGGTTTAAGGGTTTAGGGTTTAGGGTTTAGGGGTTTAGGGTTTAAGGGTTTAGGGTTGAGGGTGTNNGGGTTTAGGGTCTATATAGAACGTAGAAAGCCTTGACATCGCGCATATTAGTATATGTTTCTGCATATGTATATGTACGTGTGTCTTTTTATGTCCTTGAGCAACCCTGATCATGTGTCGCTTCAGGGCTCTTTGGAGAATAAGGAGTCTCTTGTGGCGTCCACCCTAAACCCTAAACCCCTAA